TRCCKWTMMRRTRCRTRCTGTTTAGGGGGGGGGGCTTTCTTTTTATATCGTTGCCCTTTGGGATTCCTGGGTCTCCTTTTGTGTACTCTATTCACTGCATGGAACTGTTTTGGAGGTGAGCACTTTTTCCATGTCCTGTGCTTGTCTGTCGATGTCCTCTTTATTCGCTGCATGTTCCAAAAGCTGCTGGAGAGTGTACCTTTTAACCATGGCTTCTCTACGTAATTTCTTGTCGCTCATGGTTTGCAGAATTTTGCTGCGTATTGCATCATCAGGGTCAGGAAAGTTACATTTAGCCACCTGAAGACGTAACCTGACGTGGTACTGAGCAACTGATTCTCCTTTGACTTGGCACATCTTGTCCAATTTACAGGGGGCACAATGGGGGTTGACCATAGTGATTTAATGATTGTCAAGTTTGGTGATAATTTTGTCTAATTCATTTTGCTCACCTGAGGTTGGTGGTAGAGTGAGTGGGACGTCCTTGAGAGATTCGATCAGTTTGTGGATTCGTTTGCTGCCATAAATGTGAAGTGCATCCACGAGATCTTGTATATTTGACATTTCGAAATACTCAATCAAGTGAGGAGATCCTTCCTCCACTTTTCCCAGCAGCGGCAGGTTTCTTCAGGGTCTGCGTCCGCTGTGAATGCATGCATCCTGATGTCTTTCGGTCCGGACGGCAGATGATGAACTGGTTGTGTCGCCAGTCCAGCTGAGGGATTCTGCGATGCTGTGACCTGGGCTGACAGTGCTGGGTTGTCTTCACTGTCTGACATATGCTCGTCCCCAGATATAATGTCCACCTGAGAGACTAAATGTGTAGAAACTGGAACTGTTTAATAGTGGATCCCTAACATTACACTAACATTCGCCATGTGCTTTTTTCTTACTCCTAATGTGCATGTCCTACGATAACTCGACCCCTGACCTTGAACATTACAGTACTGTACTTTAGGCTCAACATTTGTCTTCTGTTTAGATTCAAGTCTTTATGCAAACCATATCTTCAATGTGTTTGACCATGATAGGGATGGAAAAGTCTCTTTTGAGGTAACTGAATTTTGTATAAAGGCAACACATAATTATTCATATAATTTCTGTAATACTAATAATATTGATGATAAATCAGCCAAAACATCAGTGTAAAAGCTGATATAAACTCACTATATTATAATTATAGCAATTTGATTGTCATTACAATGAACATAAAGGCACATTACTAAAAACAATAGCATAAATTATTAGTAAGCTGTTACACATTAAGGCTTCCATATGACTGTGCCATACACTTATCTTGATCTCACTTTTATTAACATCACTAAATTATTTACATCACTAATTTGTGAGAATTTCAATGGAAACCCTTAGTGAAAGTCAAGCAAATGAATAAAACATACACCGATTGCAAATATGGCATCCAGTTTGAATTGCACTGTTCTGGACTCACTAGCCTCATCTTCACGTGCAAACACAAAAGGATTATTACATGTGTGAGACGCTAGTGAGTCCAAAACAATTAATTGCAACTCAAATTGGATGCCATATTTGCATTTGGTGTATGACTGAACTGTAAAATGTGTAAGATCTATTGTTTCTGCATGTTTATTTGTATAGTTACTGTTAGTTAGTACATTATTTTATTATCATGTTTTTCATGAGTATATAGCATACTCATTTTCATTATCATTTCAAGAAGTTGTAACTGGGGAATGCAGCAATGGTTAGTCTGAAGATGCTTGATTAAAATCCTTCATTTGACACCTGTTGTTAATTTTCCCAGGACTTTGTTACTGGCCTGTCATTGTCACTTTATGGCAGTAGGGAGGAAAAAATGAGGTGGGCATTCCAGTTGTATGATCTAGATGGTGATGGCTATATAACAAGAGAGGTTGGTTTAAACAAACTCCCATGCAATCTTGTTTGTAGTTAGTATGCACATTTTTCCATTCAGATAGACATGAACAATATTCTACCCTTAGTTTCAATTCTGTTCATGCATACAGATTGTATACTCAACATAAATGCTGTAGTAGAAGCAGAAAAAACAAGTATTTTCTAACTATGCAAGTAGCTTTTGCATTTTTCCCAATACACATATTTTTTTTGTTTCCAAATTTACTAAGAAGGCCATCTTGATGTCAATCTTACAATGTGAAAGTAATACTTCATGAAATTTGTACATCAGACACCACCTGTTTCTTTTAAGTGGTCTATAACATGTATGTGGGAAAAAAAATTAGAAAGGGAAAGGAAGGGCTTTTGACTCAGTGTCAGCCCACAGAATTTCAATTTTTCATAAAGGTTTAATATTAGGGTTTACAATGATTTGTTATTCTAGGAAATGGCCACTGTGGTTCATTCAGTGCACTGTATGATGGGTATTGACACACTGCCCACAGGTGCTGAGATGGGGGTTGATGAACAAGTGGAGAGACTGTTTATGGTGAGAAATGAACATACTTACTGTTGTCTAAGCAAGTTATAATGTGTGTGTGTGTGTGTGTGTGTGTGCGTGTGTGTGTGTGTGTGTGTGTGTGTGCATGTATGAGTCTATTACAACTGTAGGTTATGGCTAGTATAGTAAACTTTTACTGAAATGGGCCCCTCTCCAGCCTCTCCCACAAATGACCTGGAAAATCCTAGAAGGAAATGTAACCTACAGTGTATGATGATCATGAAGGCATTATGTAAACAAGTGTTCGGGAACTTCTACCCATCAAGTTTTATTTAGGTGTTACTGTTAAAACCCTTGGTCCAGCTTCTGCAAAATGTACAATCCATCATATCTCTTAAACAAGCACAGTGACCCATCTTTTTTCATTGTATTTGCCAAACAGACTGGCTGGGAACAGGTAAGGAAACTTTAAAAAAATTGTTTGATATCTTTTTTATCCAATTAATCACCTCTGGGTCTAAACTCTAAACTGTGACAGAGGTGCGGTCATTTTGATTAGAAAGCTATATATTAGATGATAATTAATCAACCAAAAATTATCAACTGGCCTAATTCTTAATCCTGGACCCAAGTATGCCTTAACCTTAAATCCAATGGAGTTAGGTGTAGTGTTTAGAACTACTTTTTCAATGTTTGCTCTAGCTTATGGACAAGAACCAAGATGGTGTTATATCAGAAGAGGAGTTTTTAGATGGTTGTGAAAAGGTAAGACATAAATTGTACTAATTCTAGTTTGTGCGAGATATGTATATGCCCTTTCAATGATAAGTACATTTGCAGGTTTGAAGGCATTTATAATGCATATTGCACATGCAAGCATAATGTGTGACTGATGAGGATGAAATTTTGTGGTTTTCAGCTATGTTAGGGCCTTTTTTTATTCTACAGTTGCATTGTATGGAATTTTCGTTCTACAATGTATTTTTGTCAGACCCATAAAAGCATCTTAGACAAATTTATTAAAATTGCTGGTAACAGACTTCTTCAGCTTGTATGACTTGTGTATGATTTGTTCACCCCTTTCAGTTGTCAGTGGAATTCCCAGCTTTATCTTTTGTAAAAAATTAATATGCATGTGAATGAGAGGTCAAATTTGAAACTGAAATTTGTGAAACTGAAAGAAACTTTTACTTGTACCTGTGCATACAGATATAGTCTCCCATATGGCACAAGGTTATGTCAACTTTTTATACATAAAGAGTTTCTAAACCTGAGGTTTCAAGTAGTAGCCCTTCGTTAGAGTAAATAGCAAAGCGCTAATGCTTGAAAAACATCAGCTTCAAGCATTAGCTCATTTACATTAGTTATAAACCAAGTTGATAAAACCAAATTACAGTAACTTGTATTACCCCCCACCCAAATGCAGCACCACTGTTTCTTAAGAAACTTCTTCCTAAATTCATACACTGATAACTTCTAAAATTAAGTTTCCTCAGTCCTACCTAAGTGGAATATCTTTTCAATATCTGTGGGAAATACAATGTAAACTGTCTGAGTCAACATAGTTAACCACTTTGTGCATTTGTCCCTCAATGGGATGCTTTAAAAGCAACAGGTAAATCTTGCAAATTGATAAAATTCCTTAGGGCTGATTATTTATGTATTTCATTTATTGTTAATATTTGATAATCATTATTGATTGACTTTTTAGGACGAGTCAATAAAGCAGAGCCTGGCAATGTTTGACTCTGTCAGTTGAAGAGATACAAAGACAAGAAAATAACCTACAATTGACGAATAATGTTAATTTATTATTAATTCTAATGCTCCATTATTTAAAAAGAGGGTATTGTGCTATTTATGGTTATCAGAGGAATTGGTTGAAAAATTTGTTCAGGAATTTTGATAAGAAATCAAAGATGTCCTAAACAATGATAATAATTTAAGTATTGTCATTATAATAATGAGTGTACTTGCTTGTTTTTCTTCCAAGCACTAGGAATAATGAGTAAAAAATTTCTGAATAATTTAAAGGCTAATGCAGAAACCCATGGAGTTTTACTTTCCTTGGACTTATGATCAAATTTTATGGGGTACCACAATTTGTCATAAGAAAAATTTCAAAACTTTGTTAAGTGTTTTTTAAACTCTAAGTTTGTAGTAAATGACAAGAAAGCAAAAGCTTTTGATCACATAAGAAGGAAAGTCGGAATTAACTTATCGTAAACCATCCTCACGAGGACATGATGTATATAATTTCTGCAGGTTTTTCCAATTTAATAAGCTATGTGTATAGTGACCCTTACTGGTGGGATATAAAGGTATTTAATTGCTCTTTAACTGCTACAGGACAGGTCCCTTTTTTAAGGAGGAAAAACGAATTTTCTTGTTAGGTGGTATAAAAACGTAGATAGCTATTATCACATTTATTTATCGTGTTTATAAGCCTTATTTAATTTCAAGTTCAACGAACTGATTTATATGTACAGCAACGTTTTTTCTCGGTCGAGGTGAGGTACTGCAACTCCGTTGGGGTACCGGCATTTTGAGTTGTATTATTTATTTATTAAGTTATTCGTGCAGTTTGTTGTAGATATTATGTTCATGCTAACGTTACTGATAAACATGGATTAAACGGTCTGTAGTTCACAACCTTAATTTTCAATTGCTCGTGATTAGTTTGTAGTCCATGGTAACACCGTTTTCTGGGTGATTTTCTGTACGAAAAAGGGTCTGACAGAGCCTCTTTACAGAAAAAAAAAAAAGAAGAAAAGGGTCTGACAGAGCCTCTGTACAGAAACCTTTTGACCCCTAAGGGTGACTAGCATTTATTTTCTCCATCCAGTATCACCTCCAAATCAAGCATCATGATCATGAGAATAAAAGAACTGGTCACCAACTAAAGAAGCTCTTGATTGATTATCAAATTCTCCTTGTCAGCACCTTAGGAAATGTAGAGGGAGCAGTATGGAGAATATGCATACTGATGTTCATGTATAAAGTGGTAAGTCGATCAACAGTTGTTCCTGTGTAATCGAGTGATTATACTCGATAAGATGTGACAAGTGAGCTCTTTCAACAATGTTCTCGAATTGTAGGGCCGGAAAAACTTGAGACAAGTGTAACTGAATCTTAAGCAAGGTTGGATGTAAAGCGGTGACAGAAATTGAACATAAAATGATTAAACTGAGAGTTGGTCAGAGGTGTACTTCTTTAGAGAAAAAAAAAAAACTCTGGCAGCCTCCTTTGCAAAACTGAAATGGAATATCTTATGGAATATCTTTGGTTTTTAAGAGGATTTGATAGCCCCACTGGGTTAACTCAATCAGTGAAGACATAATTCCCTAAACAAAAATAGAAACCTAGGAATCTCAATGAAACTCAATCATTTAAAGAGAATATGTTACGATTCTTACGATTTTTCAATTTTCTTTTTTGTCTTTGCAAACCTACCTTTATCTTGAACGAGACTACAAAAAAAAAAATTGTCGAGTAAGACGAAAAACCGAAAAGAGGCGATATTTAACTAGATGGGAAAAGCCATGGGCGAGGATAAGGAAGATTGATACGGATCGCCAATAATGACCAGTGTGAATCGGGCCAAACTTCAGATTACCCCAAACGTAATCTTATGGTAATTCTCTTTTTCGCAATTAATCGAAGAGACCAAAGGAGGCCGCTTGTCATTTCATTTAGCTAAGGAAGGGTTGTGGCAGCAACCGAAACTGCGTCAAATTGTCAGTGAAAAAAACCAATGATCCGCGTTTTTGACTCGCTTTAGGATTTTGAACTTGTTCATGATAATGTGGGAGTAAGACGGTTAGTTTGCCTTTACAGGTTTCAATGTTTAGGCATTCTGTTCTACGTAATTCGCAAGATCAAGGCTCTCGTGCTAAAATAGAAGTCAAATCATTTTTTATGTTGAGTCATACAAATAACCTTCAAACATACTGTATAAAATTATAGGAAATGTCTGTTTTGTCATTCAATTTCAGTTGTTATTAGGAATACTTGTATTTCATTTTAATTAAGACTGAGTGGAAATGACTTGTCATTTTTCTGAAGGCATTGTTATCCTTTTGTGATTAAAAATTACGTTGGAAAAGATAGGAACAGCAAGGGTTGAAAAAAATGATAGAGGATTGTCTCTCAACACTCATTCTCAAAAACGAGAGCAAATAAGGAACAACAGCTAAATTCCCGCCATGTGCTTTGAAAATGAGAAGGATCTCAGATCATCTCATTGCTTACAGGACGAATTGCTGTGATGTCTGCATTATAGCGTACGATAAAGCGATAATTAAGCGGGTTTATATCATCAAACTGATCACCTGCTCAAGTCATCACGGTAAACACTACATTTGACACGTTCGGAGCCTAACAACAAAAGATTAACACCGGACAAGCTTTAGGGATATTTGCATGGGGATTAATTTGGATACGAATCATGAACAAAGTTGAAATGGGAAATTGGCCACCGTAACGATTACAAAAGCTGACGTTTCGAGCGTTAGCCCCTCCTCGTAGCGCTCCTACGAAGGGCTAACGCTCGAAACGTCAGCTTTTGTAATCGTTACGGTGGCCAATTTACCATTTCAACTTTGTTGATATATCCAAATTACTTCGTTACCCCCACCGACACAGCCCCAAACAGTTTCTTTAGAAACTATCAGCCTTTATTCATTTGCATAGGGATTAGGTTCCATTGTCCAAAGGTATTAACAGCATCGCTCTCTCCCATTGACATTTTAGCGAACTGTCACGAATCTAATCCTGCGGCCTTCTACTCACTGATTGAAACAAATCACAAAGGTTCTATCCATTAAAACACAAAAGTGATTTCTAGCACGAGGTTGTTCCCCTTGATGTGATCAAAAAGGCCTTAGTGAATGAGTTATTCATACGACATCCCGCCTCGCATGACAAGATAACAAACATGAAAACTCGTTTCCTTGTCTCCAATTGGTGAGGTGAACATTTCCATGTGCGCTTATTCAAACAGGTCAACTTTGCTGTATTTGTTCGTAATGACTTACGAGCTCTTGTATCCGTTTCGTAATTTTTCCCAACTGGATCCCAGAATTTGCACTTTGAATCTAAAAAAAAAAGGAAGAAACAAAATCCCACACCGTGAAGGTAATGATTAAACAAGAAAAAGGCACTTGGGAGTTAGTCATTTCTCTGTCGTTGTTATTAAAAAAGTACAAATGATATTCATATGAAGTGATGGGGAGTCGTGTTTGAAGCCAATTCAAATACAATCTACAAATAAACTGTACATTGGGAACTTCCGATTTGCAGTTTCTCTCGCTTGAAATATTTGAATAACTACTCCTTTTTACGATGTAGCAAATGCCGGATCAACGTGAAATGCTTTTCGGCTTTAATAGATGTTATTAGTCGAGCCGGTAAAAACATGCGGAGATTATTTATGCCCCTTGGCGATAGTTTTTCTTAATCAATTTTCACGTCACTCATACTCATCGTAGATTTTCTTAAAGCATATTTTGAAACTCCTGCCGTTTGGTTCAAGTAAAATACTCTGCAGTGAATCATCCTCGCTGTCCTCATTGGGTCGACGTGCTCTAAGAACTGTTTTACCTTGTGGCTAGCGCAACATCAAACAAGAAACGACGTAACAAGAAAATATACTTGGCATACAATGAAGCCCTTTTTGTTTGTCTTTTGGTTCTTGCTTCTGGTAACCACTTTGAGCAAAGGACATTCAGCAGGAATTAACCATACTCACCACTGTGAGTATCCGAGAAGGATCTCCAACCTTGAGGCTGATTTGATTGTTGGTGGGTTGTTTCCTGTTCATGTTGTGCAACCGACGGGTAAAGGGACACATCAAGAATACGATATCAATTTGTACGGAGTAAACTGGATCGAAGCCATGTTGTTTACCATCAAAGAAATTAACAACGATCCGCGTTTCTTCCCACTGAATTTTACTTTGGGCTTTGACATCAAAGATTCGTGCAACGATGTGCCCGTGGCATTGAAAGCTACCCTCGACTTTGTTCTCGATACAGGAAATACGACTACCGACAAAAACATATCTAAGAATTGCTCCACTCGTTATTGCAAATGTACTGATAAGCAGACACTTATATCTGCCGTGATCGGAGCGGCTTCATCGGCGATATCTACCAACGTAGCAAATCTTTTAGGTGTAGAAAATACACCTCAAATTAGCTACTCCTCTACAAGCGTTCTTCTCAGTGATAAGACTGTGTATCATTCGTTCTTTAGGACGATACCATCCGATACGTATCAGGCTCAAGCCCTTGCTGATTTGTTGAAACAGTTTGGTTGGACGTACGTATCGATCGTTGCTTCTGATAACGCTTACGGGCGCGCAGGGCTAGACTCCTTGCGATCAGAACTTAAAAAGAAGGACATTTGCATCGCGCTGGAAGAAGTTTTTAATCCCTTGCTGCCCCAAAATGAACTACGCCGCATTATCAAGTCTCTCAAGAGCAAGCCACGCGTTAGAGTTATAATTTTGTGGTGCGAAAGGCCGAATGCGTTAGGGTTCTTAAACGAAGCGTCTCGTAAAAGATTGAAGGGCAAAACTTGGATTGGAACGGAAACCTGGGGAGACGCATGGCAACTGGAATCATTGGATAAAAACGTGGTAGGAGGGATGCTTGGAGTGTTGCCATTGTTGAAGAAGCACACTGCATATGAAGAGCACCTGAAGAGTCTACACCCAAACAACACCGATCACAATCCGTGGATGTGGGAATACTGGACAAGCAAATTCAACTGCAGCTGGGTCACAGGAGTTTTGATGAACAGTACGTATGATCGCATTGGTGTAGGAGAGAAAGAAGCGTATGTCTACAAGACCAAGGATCCAAATGTGACGATAATCTGTCCAAAAGACCCACAAGCCGGTCCTCCAACTGGTGATCTACTGCCCCGGAATAAATACACAAATGTTATGGACGCGGTTTACGCGGTTGCTCATGCAGTGAAAAATATTTTGGATTGCAAGGATAGAAACAGTCTTCTTCTGGATACGCGTGAACAATGCCCCTCTATTGATGCAATAAAACCAAGTGATATCCTGAAATTCCTGAAGAACGTGTCCTTCGAGGGACGGTCTGGCTCACAAATCATGTTTGATGAAAAAGGGGATCTGCGCTACGGATCATACGCCATTAAAAACCTTCAACGGTATGGGAATGACAAAATGAAATTTGTTGAGATAGGTACTTGGAATGGAATTGATGGTAAACTTTCACTCAGTAAAAACTCTAAGATCATGTGGAATGGATGGAATGCAGAACAACCAATTTCAACTTGTTCAGACGAGTGTCGCGCGGGGCACTATCCCGTTGAAGAAAGTGTGAGATGCTGTTGGAAGTGCGTTGAATGCGAGAATGATTTTGTAAAACCCAATGCTGGACAGGAAAAATGCATGAAATGCCCAAAGGAATACGTCTCCAACACGCTGAGGACCAAGTGTGTGAAACTAAAATCTGACTTCCTCGCCTGGGGGAATGGTGAAGGGGTTAGTGCAGCCGTGCTCGCTGTTGTTGGAGCGTTCATTTCAGTCGGTGTCTTGGCAGTTTTCTACAAATATCGCAATACAGCTGTGGTAAAAGCATCCAATCGAGAGCTCTCGTTCGTGCACTTAGGATGCATTGTAGCTATATTCGTTCTACCGTTCGTGATGATTGGTAAACCAACAGTAGCTGGCTGCACAGCATTTCCTTTCTTCTTTGGAATTCCCTTGACCCTCTGTACTTCCATTATGCTGTTAAAAACAGATAGACTCCTGCGCATATTTCAAGCTAGGTCTCGGCTGACCGCTTCAAGTAGCTATCTCATCAGCAATAAGACGCAAGTTATCGTCGCCGTCATAATGACTTTAGTTCCAGTTATTATGACAATGATTTGGCTGATTGTTGATTCACCCCATGTCGTCACTAAGGTTGACACCTCGAGAGAAGGATGGCAGATAATAAGCTGTGACAAATCTCACGAGCTCTTAAACATTATTATTCTAGCATACGTTTTGATTATAGCCCTGTTATGCACTTACTTTGCTTTCAAAGCTCGTAAACTTCCCGAAAATTTCAACGAAGCAAAATTCATCTGTTTCGCCATGTTCGCGTTTTGTATTTTTTGGCTGAGTTTTTTTCCCGCTTATTATGACAGCACAGGCTCGACGCGCAATTTCGTGTTTTGTTTAGGAATTCTTAGTTCAAGTTATGCTGTACTGTGCATCATGTACGCTCCAAAGCTTCGCGTGATTCTGTTTCATCCAGAAAACAACACTACTGAGGCATTCAGAGCTACAACTATGGTGGCCATGAAGAAAGCTGGGGTAGTCGTTTCTTCCAATAGTGCGACGCCTCCCCGTATGACACCAGTTCCTTCCCCTGTGCCGTCAAGGCGTAATTCTCCCGACTTGGTTGTGGCGAATGAAGGGAGAAATTCTGCAGTGAGCATTGGTCGGACAATTTTGCCATCATTGTCTCAGTTAGGTCGCAATTAACTCTTACTTACCAATGCTCGTTATCTAATTAAACTTACTACAGAACACTTGGTACACTTTTGCATTAAAATCTTGATTCCAAAACTTCACAAGAATGAGTAGTTTTTGTTTTGCTTGTGTTTGTTTGTTTGTCTTTTTGAACGTACTTGTCCTCCTTTCGTTTCTCAGTGAGCTATTCAAAATCTAAGGGCCCTTAGGTAGCTTCGTCCTTAACACCTAATAAAAACTGAATTGTCCATTCTATTACAAAAAACAACAGAGTTGAGTAATCGGAACGTACTCCGTAAAGGGAGCCATAAATCTCAACCTGGTGTTCTTTTTCAAGCTATGAATCTGTTCTCCTTATGTGGTATCCTCGCGACTCTTTGATTTCCTTAGACGGAGTGAATAATTCTTCTTGATGTTTTGATGTTAGACATTTACAACTGATTAACAAAGCTATATGCAGACAATTTGCCGTAAGAAGTATATTTAATCTGCAGCTTAATATATTATGTTCTCTGGTGGAACGATAATGGATAACTTAAGAAAGATAAATAAGTAACATTAAGAGGACTTGGTAAGATTTAAGCGCTTTATAAATTAGTTTTGGAATTCTGTCCTTTTTTTATTTACCTTTTCTTTTCTCATACCTCCTCGTTAATGCTTTTTGTTCAGTTTAGCATTGTTTTTAATCAGTTGCACCTTCAGTTTGGGACGCTTTCATACCGCACGAAATTACGGATTCCTCTTTTATTTGTACCTAATTTCGTTTTAGCATTATCTCTTTTGTCGGCCAGTGTGCCCAGAAGTCGCACTAAATCAGTTCTCTGTTTTTAGAAGTATTTTTCACCTTGAAAGCTATCGCAGTTTTATTTAGGCGTTACAAATGTAAGTATCTTTTCCATTTCGCATTTCATTTGAGATTCGTTTACCCTACGTTACTAATCTTTTGAGTGCGTCTGCCAGCTCGTTAACGTCAAATTAAGAGTCATTGTAAAGAAAATAACGCTCTCGCTGTTTAAGACTGAGCGGAGTACAATTTAGGTAGTAATGGGGCGAGTGTTTTCATTTGGTCATGCGCAGCGTAACGCATGGGTGATTTGAAGTTACGAGCGTGGTTACCCCTAGATTGTACGAATACAAAGTGCGATTACCAATTAATTGTGTCAATTATAAGATGTGAGAAAGTCAAGAATGGAAAATTTAACATAAGAGAACATAGGCTTCTTAGTAATGTATGTTTGGCTAAAGTTCAGCTCTCTGCAGAGAAAATTATCCAATGTTCAGAGAGAAAAATATCCAATGTTCGCTTATAAAGTTTTCTTCACTTTTACTGGCTAGCACTGGCTCATTTCGACCGTCCTTTTCTTTTGTGCCTGAGTGGCGTGTTGAGAGTCGACGAAATATCACGATTAAGAGACGTTTTTTTTTACCTTTGTCACGACCCTCGTTTGATTGTACCTCTAAAAAAGATTCCAGTCGCCGTAGGTCCGAACTCTTCATAAGGCACGCCACGGAAATGTTCAATAGTATTCATGAGACTTGGTTTGACGATTTATCTTAAATAGAAAATTCACTGTTTGTGCCACTCGCTCGTCAAATCAGATAATTGTTTTTTTATTCGTTTTTCTATCCTTCTGGGTAAATATCTACGCTAATTTAATTAATGAATATTCAATTGGATATCTTACTACAGTGTAATTATTGTTTTTCCGCGAAAAGAGGCGGATGTAAGTTATGTAGTTCCAAGAATCGTCCTTGATGTGTTCATTGGCCCTTTGCTTTGTTGTGAAGATTCAAAAGGTCAGTCAATTGATACGGTTCATTACTAAGAGCAGTGAAAAACGAGCATCAACTTGGGCTCTCATCAGCTTTTATAGACACATTTGGAGTAAGTTTTGGAGGAAAATTTGTAATAGATTTCCTAGAAAACAATATACCGGAAGCGATTGCATAAATTCTGAGAATTCGTAAGTTTTCCTTGCTGATTGCTCCGTAAAAAACATTAAGGGGTTGTCATAATTGAAACGGTTACTGAAAGATATAATTTGCGTTTTGCGTCACTTGAGGTACGAAACTCAGCGAATTTTAGTGGGCTACTCTCTGTTTAACAGACGAACGACTTTGGAAGTTTCAGGGGATGGAAAATACGGTGTGTATTTCATTTCATGAGCCACAGACAGCGTGATGTTATTATTTTCTCAGGTAAGAAACTTAAAATATTAACAGTTGCTGCGAGATGCTGTCATAGAACTATCACGCATGAATTGTTATGCAATAATTTTCAGCAATATGGAATATTATTTTTTTTTTCTTTTAACGAACTCGAGATCGTAAGATCAATTTATTATACGATTTTTCCTACTTGTGACCCCGAATTAACCTTTCAACAGGTACTTTGGCATATACTGAGGAACGGTTTTCTGTGTACTTCCTTTTACCGGGGTAACCTGTTGTTTAAGCAAAGATCTTTGCCTAGACATGCACCGATAGGTCAGTTCTTCTTTCAAAATCTCACGGACTGTATATTATATTGAACATTTCATTTCATACATTTACTTTATTAACGTAACTTTTTTATTCTAATCGAAAAGCACCATTGTTTACTAATCAGCTGAGAGTTGGATAATGATTCTGCAAGATTTAGTAACTGAGATACAGAAACAAATAGCCAAACGGGTAAATCACAGGGGTGGCAAAATATCTTTATTCACCGATCCATTCATTTCTGTGTTCTATTATAAGTGGTACGATCCCAATAACAGATGTATTCCCTTTCAATTACTTTTTAACCTTCTGCCGTCATTTTGAAATTGTTCTTTAGTGCTTAAATTTGCAAGGCAATTCTTTCAGCAGGGAATTTGAACCTTACTAAAATTTGTACAATACATACAACCTTAAGAGACATGGTACCGGTTCCATTGAGCTACCTTCAAAACCCATACACAAAGAGTTCATTTAAGGCAGTCCTCCCATTTTGGGAAGGAACTTTCAAAGTGAAAGATGAAAAAGATGAAGCCATTATATGCTACTTCACGAAACTTAAAGAGTGTCATATTGAGAGTGATTGTCATTTTAAGTTACCTTTTGCTTTGAAATTATTCTAGAATGTTAAAATAATTAAGGCCGGATCTTTTTTTGCGAATTCAACATTTTGGGAGATTACGTTTCAGTTGATATCAGTAGACATCAGTACTATCTAACCTGATATATCAGTTCAGTTTCCATAGAAACTTGTTGGGAAATAGTTACTGCTGTAAGGGTTTAAATTGCCCATAAAATGCAAGTGGTTCTTGCTTGAAACATGTTTATCTCTATGTTTGATCCAAGGTTACAAAATCAACTCTCAAATATCCTAAAAACAATAGTGAAGAGCTACCAGCAGATTAAGCAATTGTATGAGTTCCTCGTCTTGCATATGCTGAAGAGGTTACTCGTTTCCTACTAAATAAATTGCTTGTTTTTAGAATGTTGTATGCATTGTTTTTTGATAAGAGTTCAGATGTATGTTGAATATTTAATTCCTTGCATATTATATGGCCATAACTCAGTCGGCCATTAAATTACCTCTATAATTCGCTCCTCCTTTTTTCGGGGGGTAACCAAAGAAAATCAAGGTCTCCCCTTAATCATTATCAGCCATTATGAAACTGATTAAAGAAATAGTAGTATAACTTGTGTTGTTATGGTCAGACATGCAATATGAGAGTGTTTTGATATCCAAGGTTAATTGTAAGTGATTGCAAGTTACCTCTGTGAACTGCCTTTTTTATCTCTCTTGCCTCTCGTGTCTAACATGTTGTGATAGATACATTATGTTGCTAAATGATACATTGCTAAATAGATACATTGTTAAACATGTTGTGATAGATATATTATGTTGCTAAATGTTTTGCAAAACACCTTACGCGTTTTCGTAGAAAGAACACGAAACTCCAGACACTCCACAAGATGATCCTTAAAGAGCATTTCCCTTTCCTAACTACTTCTGACATACCTTATTTGAAGTCATAACTGTCAGTGCATTAGTTGGAAACATTGATCAACTACATTTGGAGAAAGGTTGATCAATTAACATTTCAAGTAAAGAACATTTCTTGTTGTTCACAACCTGGTTAGTTTGCTAAGTATTCTACTTACAATTCCCTCTTTTATTTTAGGGTGAGCGGCTAAACGTTCAAACAGGGATACGTCCATTACACAAGTAATAGCCATCCTTCGTGATCCAGAATAGCTACGCGAGAACCTTCGAGTGGCTCTGGGAACTAAAACTTGCCGTCAGTCCCAGCTCTCACTCAGTCACCGACTTCGCACAGGTGTGCAAGATGGCGATTTAAGGTCGAAAAACGGTAACTATAAGCTTATATATCTTTGTTTAATAAGATATATTCATAAATATTATTAGGACGTTGTGATATGAATTTTTTAGCAAACTGTGGATGTACAACTAAACCGTGCCAAGATATTCTGGATAACATATATCTATGCTGCTTGTGACTCTCTTTATGTCTTGGTAATTTACTTGTGGGGAGACCTATACAGTATCTTGAACTGCAAATGGAGCACGCGTTCTATCCGAAAGTTCTTAAATTTCCTTACCACCCAGTTCCATATTTTTAGGTTTTGTCAAGTATTTTACTTGAGAAGGCGAGGACACGCAGCGACACGTAAAAGTTAGGGCTTCGACGATTATTTTGTTGCTTGTTGAATTCCAGATCGACCTTCATGTAGAAACTAGAAAAAGGGGTGTGTGCTTATCTAAGATAAGTTCTAAGAACACAACTAAGTTCGAAACAAATAAAAATTCGACCAGATTATATATTTTAATCCTGAAAACAAATGATATGAATAGCAAGAGCATGCGCAGTAGAATTATTACCTATTTCATCAAGCCCGAAGAGGTATTCTAGCTTGAAGCTGTTGAATTTTAAACGGAAAGTGCACAAGATTACCCGCAAATTCTCGCGTAATGTTTATCCCTTTTCAAGCGAGACATATCTAAGATTATTACCCAGGTAAGCAATAACATCTTAGGAAAATAAATTGATAAGGAAGTGTTCCCACTTTATGCATCAGTTACTTTGTTTATTCAACAACCATGTTGAATGAAGATAGTCCGAAGATAGTCCGAGTTATCTCTTCCACGTTACGCATGTTGCAGCTGAAATTAATATCGTTTAAAGATATGTTCCCTTGGTAAAGGGGACCGTCGTTCGACTTCACATCTCCGTGGTTAACTGTTGTTAGAATTTTGACTTTAAAATTACGATATTTCAGCGCCTATAACTTTTACATTACATTCCAGTACAGCAAAAAGAGCGGTACACATGCCTTTATCTCGGTTTTGTCTCAGCAGTTAGTTGATGCAAATTGAAACAACGAGGTCATCAGTCATCAACGTTGAAGTTTTTCAAAAGACTAGCAATGGTAAATTGCACAAATGAAACGACAAGTGATTTGAATGAATATTGCTTAAGTGGCAAACTAAAGATGTTTTGTCTTTGAAACCATAACCGAAGTCACTAGCAGCGACGCAGCTCTTTAATTATATGCACTGAGGTTGAAACTATGTTGATCGCATAGTGACGTCTTAATTATTTCGCAGAATTCTTTGAAAAGAAGCGGATGTAATACTTGCTTTCCTCGAAAAGGTCATCTGTTTGTAGAGCTTGACATACTCTCCCTCGTGTTAGTCATTCAGTGGGGGAGGTTTCTGGCTACATGTTCTGGCTACATGTTCTGGCTACATGTTCTGGCTACATGTTCTGGCTACATGTTCCAGTGTAAAGCCTAAACACAAGTACCATATATTCTTTGGTTAGTAAATGTTTAGGCTGCAATAGGTTCTGCGAATTGCAAAGCGTTTACAGGTAAAAAGTTACATGTAGTGAATATATATTTATAAGCAAACCTAACAGAGAATCTTCGTGAAAAAAAGCCACAAAGGTAAATTATTATTATACTTGGTTTAAATAATTTGAATTCTTAGAATTAGCTCCGGAAGTCAGTTATACATTCCGAGAAAACCTCTTTGAAGGCTATCAACAGCCCTTGTTTCCCAAAGTTCAAAAATAGAGGCACAAATGGAACATTCTTAGAAAAGGCCCGGAAGTCAAGATACATATTCTGAGAATTCACAGTTTAGTTCTTCTTGCGAAGCAGTAACACGGCTGTAAATTATTTTGATTAGTGATTCATTAAAGTAATGTAATCAATGTTTAATTTTGTTATCGACTGATTTCAATATAGTAAAACGTAGGGAAAGCAACTTGAAAATTAGCTAATGTGGTTTGAATTCAAAGCTTAACTCTCGGTCTGAAATTGATATTATCTCACCTTCATGGCAATGAAAACTTCTGGCTACATCTAAAGGAAAAAGACATGTTCTGTCAATTTACACTATAACCAGTTGGCGTTTCATAACCGAATTTGCTGAAAGAGCATTTGACCTAGGTACACTAACAAGATGCAGCATTGTAATACAATGATTTATGTGATTTTCCTTCTGCCAAAAAATAGGATTCCAATGTATTGAGTACTTGCATCAAGAGATACATCAGCCCACCTACACTATATCACCAAACCCCAACCTTTAGTCGATCAGGTCTGTGAGAATTGAGCCAGGAATCAGGTTTGAGGTGATATAAACTAATTTGAATGAAATAATTCAGTAGCCAGCCAGTATTCACCGTTTCAATGTTACACGAAGAATTTCATTCGAAGAGACGGTTTTTGTTTCACAATGAGAAGATATAGCAAAAAATTTCACTTTGAACTTTGAGTTCGGGACTTTGAAAAAATAGAACATGTCAAAGAAGTAGAGTAAAATGAACAATGTTGTTTCAATGAATATTGCATTTTTTGTCACGGATAAAGTAATTTAAAACGCATTGTTTGTGACAAAGAATAATTCAAGAAAACCCCCTTCTGTTCATCCAATAACACCATCCATTGTCATTAAAATTCTTCTGAGTATCAGTCCTGATAAACCTGAATCAGTACACGCTTATTGAGGATAGCAGCTCCTGAAATAGCTCCCTCTGTTTCCCAGCTTATAAATTTTTCCAGTGAGAATAAGTTCTGCCCAAGTGAGGGAAGGAAGCGAAAGTAGGTCCTTTGTTTAGAGGGTGACAAAGCAGATAATCTTTCCAATTTTCACCCACCATCACTCCTCCCGGTACTTTCAAAAGCGATTGAACGTTAGATCCACGACTGTTCTATGCCTTTCTGTCTGAGAACAACCTTATCCATCATTGTCAGTCTGGATTTAGAAAACGGCATAGCATTGCAACTGTTTTGGCGAAGACCGTTGATCAGTTGTTGACTAATCTCGATAAAGGTCGAATTATTGCTCTGACAATGATTGATTTTCGAAAGGCCTTCGACATGGTAGATCTGAAAAATCCTACATATGAAGCTCGGAGCTTATGGAATGGCTAATAACCCGTTATCGTGGTTCCAATTCTATTAAATGAATAGGCAACAAGTCGTCTCTTTTGATGGCAGTGACTCTGAACCTGTGCCAAATACCAAATTGCTAGGTTTAGAGTTTTATATTGAGCTGTATTTCTGCCCTCATGTTTAAAACGTTTTTAAAAAACTTTCTATGTTTTATTGATCATGATTGGACTTGTATTGAATTATGTAGCTGTTGTTTGGAATAATTGCGGACATGAACTTCTAGGTATTACAGAAACGTGCAGCCTGACTTATTATGGAAGCTGGTTCTAGGCCCTCTTATGTTAGATAATTAAATTATTTAAGTTGGCTACCTATTTAGAAGGGGGCTAAAATTCACAAATTTCTAATTGCATTTAATAGAATACTTGGAGAATCGCCTGCGTATATTACCAACCTTTTGACACGTAATAGTGATCTTCACTCTCGTATCACTCGGTGTGCAAACTATAACTTAGTATGCCCATAGTTTAAACGTAAACTAAATGGCATTAAAACTTTAGGTGTTACCAAATGTCAATTATGGAACAATTTACTTATCACTTTCAGACAAAAGACATCAGTACAAAGTGTGAAAAGGCCTTAAGGCAATTTTTCTCGGGAGCTAACAGAGTTTCAGTGAATAATTTTACAGCTTAATAGGTTCCTTTTCATAGTTTCCTGACTCTGTCATTAAATCCTGAGAACTACCTGTATTTAAGATTTTATCAAAGGTTTTTTTTTAATTTTTGAACTGTTCTTCGATTTTTAGGGTATTATTTTTACTTATTGATATCTTTCTTTATTAGCATTATCATATGTATTGTAAGAGGACAACAAGTTTCTAAGCCTATTGGTTTTTAAGGGCTACTTAAGTGCTTACTTACTGATTTACACTCATTTAGTGTGCCGGGTTTTTTCATCCACTGTATCGAAGAGACATCAAGGTTTTTTTCAAACATGTACTAACCCTGTTCCCCTGCATATCGAGCAGATAGCTAAGACGCATGGTGGACCCAGAGCAGCTCCAAAAAGGCCAAAAGAATGAAAATAATCCTAGACAATCTGGTCATCGTAATTTTTTTATTTTTTTCCAGAAACTATATACGAAGTCCTGAACTCTATTGCTCACGTATGAGCTCTCTTCAAAATGCCCAGAGTGGTAAAACCACAAATGGACAGACCGAGAAGACAGACCACGGTAAAAAAGCTACTATTCAGAGCCAGAGATTTAGTCGCAAAAGAAAACAGATGAAAGACACAAGTAAAGGTGGGTCCGCTGTAACTGGCAAAAGTTTGACGGAGACGCAAAAGGAACCTATTTCGAAATATGAACAAGATGATGCGAAAGAGGGCAGAGGAGTACAAGGCAGGTCAGGGGCTCAAAAGAGCCCAGAGGTCTCGAACAGTGGTCAGCAGGATACGACAGAAGAAGGAGGAGCACAAGACACGAAACGCACAACGCCAAAGAGACGACGTCCAAGAACAAGACGCAAAAAAGTCAAAAGCGAAGAAAACAGCGGCGATATACCCGGGCTACAAAATAGGCTGCCGGGTAGAGCGACAGAAGGAGACACTAAGAACCATGGTGGGATTCAAGATCGAGAACAAAGGCACTCAACAGATATAGCTGGTACTGTTGACAGTCTTTCACAGTCCGCTACCGAGGGGCAGCAGAGCAATAGGGGAAAAGAAGGAACAAAGAACCAAGATAGTGTTAGAAAGAACAAACAACGAAGCCAGAAAGTCAAGGGAAGAACAAACACGGCTGATTCCCCAGGGGGCAAAGATGTTATGATGGCCCAAAGTAGTACGCAAGCTGATACGATGATAGGAAATAGCCGAAAGGAAGAAGAAGTTGTAAAACAAGAGAGGACTTCTCATCAGCGGAATAGACGTACAGTGTCAAAAAGTGCCACTGGGGAAAGCTCGAGTGAAACTAACAGTAGAAATCAAGTTCAGAAAAAACCTCAAAGCCTGGATGAACCAAAACAAACTATTGGAAGTGAAACAAGCCAAACTGTCGGGAAAGAAAGTGAAGAAAAACAACAAGGAGTTCCTAAAGAAAATAATCAAACAAGCGAAAGACAAAGTGCAGTTCTCAATGGTAACAACAACAAGGCACATAGCGAGAAAAACAGGTCGGAGAATAAGCCGACAGAAATTCCTTCGAGCAGCGAAAAAAAAGCAAAACAAGCGATTAACAGATTGGAATCTCAAAGAAAGCCTCCGTCAGTCAAAGCTATGACAGATTTCCTTACCAAAACTCCACAAGAAATTGTTAATTGGTTAATCCGAGATCATTTACCCATGTTTAAAAAGCGACTAAAAATCAAAGATGAAGCGATTTCTCTCCTATTGAAACTTCTTGCAAAAGCTTGTGACTGCAAGTCCTCCAGTAATCTTGCACAGCTTTTCGAAATTTTATCAACATCCTGGCTGCTCAACCGAAGGGTTCTTGCCGTTCTGAACCAGTTTACTTGGAATAAATCAAAGACTTCCCATGCTGAGCGTTTTGGTCTGGAAACAATCAAGGAAATTGCTAAGTTGCAGACAGAAATCCTTAGAAAATACCCTACGAAAAAGTACCCAGTGCTGGAGAAGCTACATGGGCTCGTAAATGCTAGCAAGTTACAAGATCAAGGCGTGATTTCTGCTGTGCAAGAGCAACGGAAGCTGTTGAATAAGGAGAAAGTTGCACAACGCAAAAAAGAGGCAGTACAAAAAAGAAAAAGTGCTAAAGCTGGTAATCTTCTCTTTTTTTCCTTATATTTAGAAATTGGTTGTTCTCACTCCCCTAGGCCATTCTTGTGTCCTTTTATAACATAAGAAGTTGAAAGCCTGTTCAGACACGGACAAAATGAGGAACTAACTACAATTTATCCCTGCACCTTGGAATCGCTTATGGTTGTGAATCTTTCTGTTAAGTGCTTTAACTGGTAGATAAATAACCGGCTTCACTACGGCTTATCTTACATATAGTAACCACTATGTCTCGGTCTTACTTTCAATGTACAGATATTACCGATGACAACTTGAAGCCGCCTGAGAATTTTCGCGTGCTGAGTGTCATTCCAACCCGTGAGGACATCATTTCAAACCAAGGCCAAGACGAAAAGCTGTTCCTCAGGAAAAACAAAGTTCAAGGGCGCTACAAAGACGAGGAACACTATTTAGACGTTCAATTTCGGCTTCTACGTGAAGACTTCTTAAGGCCTCTTCGCAAAGGGATCCAACACTTGATGGGCAAAGACGTCCCTGATGATACCGATGACGATAATGTCGGAGATGTCAGAGTGTACAAAGATGTGACGATACTATCGCCTGTGTGTACTTCAAACGGAGTCGCATTCAAGATTAGGTTTGATGTCACAGGTTTCAGTCGAGTGCGATGGGAGAACAGTAAGAGACTGATATTTGGATCATTGTTGTGTCTATCGAAGGACGACTTTAAGAGCTTCGTTTTTGCTACTGTTGCAAATAGAGAACTGAGCGAAGTAAGAAAGGTGAGGGTATTACTTACTAAAACAATAATCTAATAAGTAATGACTGCTTCTCATCATTTTGTTTTTAATGGACTCTAGCTATTTCTTTTCCCATAATTCAATATAATTTGATAAGGAAATATATAGATGGACCATTTAATTTTCCGTTACCTTTAAACACTCCTCTGCTGTTCAAAGCGAGGACACCGCACAGTGCACTTACCTCTTGGATTCAGTCATTATCGATCAGTGTACTTTATCCAAGCTAGTATTGAAATTGTTATCCTGTCTTTGAGAATACACTTGTTTTATTCTTCTGAATTTTTTTTTATCGCAAAACTCAGGGTGAAATAGAGGTGCAGTTTGTCTTATCTGGTGGTGAAGCTGGAATACACACGGGAGATTTATGCCAAATGGTTGAGTCCATAGCTTTCTTTGAGGCATATCGTCCGGTGCTTGAAGGATTGAAGACGATACCTCCCGGAGAATTTCCTTTTCAGGTAATAATCAGTGTTTCATACTGAGAATGATAGCTAACTAAAGACTGAACTTGAGCAGTTACCAGTGCTTGCAGTATGTATGTCTCCTTCAGTCCAGTTAGTAAAACTTTTGTTTGGTGCGTTCATGGCGTCCTCTAAAGCAATACCCTTAGAATGATTTACCATGACGTGAAGCCAAACTCAATTATGAGATCAAATGGAATCACAACTGGATAGACAGAAGGATGTACTGATCTTGAAGTAAAAGAAAGATCTCTTTTCCTCTAAGCGCTTGTTAGAGCAGTTCCTTTGATTTATTCGAGCTAGTCTTTTATTTCTGCTGCCAAACCAGTGAGGAATGTGTATTGATATATTGTTGACATTCTTTTAGAGATATATTGTGAAGTGTTAGACAGATGTACAATCACCAGCTTACCTTAGGAAACCCGGTGGCCAGCATGTAAAGTTTGATTTTTCTCCCCTTATTTCAAACGAAGAATCACCTGATTACAAGTAAGTGAAAATTAGGCCTGTCTGTATAAGCAATGTTAATTTGTATGCTGACTAACTGACCACTTAAAACCAAATAAGTGCCCCTCTCGTGTACCTTCCATAGAATGTTTGCTAAGTTCATGTGTGATGTTTCGAAAGATGTCTCATACCAAGTAAGGAAGTAGTGCAAATTTCCATTGGTTCACAAAATTAAAAAATAAAACAAGGGGAGAAAATTAGTAAATTTCCTTTAAGAATAAGAATAATGGAACACAGGCACGGTATCTGTCGTTTAGAGTCTGCTTGATTTCCGAACAACTTACATTTCTCTAAAAAACCCGAGGGAAAAATCTTAATGGGGAACACAAAATAGATCTTTACATAGTTTTGTTCACTTTTTGTGCTAAACGCTCTGCAGTAACTCCTTTGAATCAGGAAGCTTCTCGTTAAAAGAAGAACCCCTGGTTGACTTATAGTAGCATCATAATGGGTGGTAGCTTTGACGGTTATTAGGTAAATTGTTTTCCTATTTTGACGGTTGAAAGTTGTCCATTCCGATGGTTGACGGTTAAATTTCCGCTGTTTGACGGCTGACAGTTAACCCTATTGAGATCTTCTTACAAACATGACCAATGGAGTATTAATGAAATGTGAAGGTAATAGGGTCATGAAAAATCTCTGAAGAAGTGTTCACAAGCCATCATGAGATAATTTGCATTCATTTTCAGGTGGAGTCCTGCTTGTGTACCAAAGAACAAGAATCCTGGTGGTCTTGAAGTCTCAGGTAAGGGAGAAAAAAGTTACTGAAAAATCTTGTTTCTATGCTCTCCCTTTGTTCAACGTTTTGAGGAGTTTTAGCAGCGTTTCTACCAGGGAGACACTTGAAAAGATAATGTAAACGGTGATTTCAAACATTATTTTGGGATGACCTGATACCTAGCAGCATCAATGGATGTTTTCAATTAAACGATTTTGTTCACACTATCTACATATCCAAATGCAGTGACCTAAAGTGGATTTAACGGACACTATAACTGAAACAAGAGCGAACATCATAAAATTGCTTTGGAGCGTACACCAGGGTTCTGGTGCTCATAGACAGGAAATATTTTCTCGTTTGATCATGGAATTAGGAAAGGAGGTTATATCTGACTTGGAAGCAGTAATTTTAAAAGTGTGTGTGTGCACGATTAGAATCACTTTGGTATCATTTACTAATTTCTCGTCTCTTTTTGTACATCAAAACTAGCCCCACAGATCGAATAAAATCCCTCTCTCTATCAACAATATCATGTATGTTACGGCTATCTGACAAAGCTTGTGTAATCTGGATAAAGGTAAACGCAAACTGTCAATCGCGAGTAGGTTGACTACCACAGACTTTCTCAATCCAAGGTATATGGGTAATTGTTACAGTAACATGCATTAATGTAAGTGTTGTCAAACGTTGGCACAGGCCAGCAGAAGGCCCTTTGCTGATTATAAGCCCTGTATTGGGTTCTTTTTTGGAATTACTACCTCTTTGTTATCATACAGGATTAATGATCTCAGTGTTGGACCCAGCCTCCTGGCCGACGGCAGAGGATTTGAAGCTGGACGATTCTCAGTTTAACGCCTTACAGCTGGCGCTGACTAAAGAGTTTGCGGTAATTCAGGGACCGCCAGGCACCGGAAAAACCTTCATCGGATTGATGGTATTTTCTTCTTTTTTCTAGGAGATTTTGTCTTAAGATCGTAGGTAAAATGAAGCAGTTAGCTTTTACTCAATCTTGGTTCTCCCTCTCTCTGCTATGAAGCATATCCATCTTTTCATAAACCTTTCCTGCTATGCGTATCTGTCAGGGTTAAATGCTGCTATTGAATCTAACCATGAGAAAACACCACGTCCACTTGATACCCCATGGGTACAACGCTTTTAAAAGTACTCGCGAAAGTGCTTCAGGTTGCTTAGGATGTTGAATGTTTTGCAGATAACAAAGATTCTTTTGCACAACATAAGCGCTTGGCTTGGAAGGGAAGGAGGACCTATCCTTGTCGTCTGCTACACTAACCACGCTCTGGATCAGTTTCTGGAAGGAATCCACGAATTTCATCCGGAGGGAATTATCCGCGTTGGAGGAAGAAGTAACAGCGAGACCATTCAGCAATACAGTCTGGCAAAAATAAAACAAACAAGGAGCGAGGTAATTATAAATCGTAGGTATTACATCCTAAGTAAACAAAAACTCCAATGGAGAATTTATGGACAGAAAAAAAAAATTCACGAGTTAAGTTTTCCGGCAAAGGTAGAAGGGAGGCCTTGAAGGGTTTACAACATACAACATGCTGCTGCTGTAAGTGATGAACTCTCAGACCACACACAATTATATATTTGAAAGAAACAGTTTCTTAAAATTCATACACAAAGTTCACGGTAAGGACCTAGTGTTCACACAAACGAGTAAAGGAGCTACATAAAGGCACTTTACTTTTGAAACTGAAATTACTAATACTGCTTTCAAAACTAACATCAATAATTCTGTAAGTCTATGGCATACTGAAAATTCAAATTGTTTGTGAAAGAATTGTTATAGTTGTCCATGAATTATCTAGGAACGTCTGACACCTGCCATAATCAGAAAGGCTTATGGTTGCATTAAAGGAGAAATGAAAAGTCTGTCAGCCATGATTGAAGATCACGAAGGAATATTGGAAGACTTATCGAGGACTTTGCTCCATGAAAATGAGCTTGTTGATTACGGCATGGCAAAGAAGCATTACGATTCCTTGACGAGGGGATCGCGAAATGCAGGGGCAAAGAAAAAAGAATCAGTCATCCCACAATGGCTTGGGCTTCCCGTAGAGCCAGCGGACCCGTATCAAGGGGGTAAGATATATTCTTAACATGGTAGGAGACAACAATGGGTCGCTAATGGAAATTATATGGCACGGTATGCGTATCTCAATGACAATGAAAACTGGGTAATTTGGTAATATCAACCAAGTTGAAATCGTAAACTGGCCACCGTATAGAGTTAAAAGGCTGACGTTTCGAGCGTTAGCCCTTCGTCCTTCGCTCTGACGAAAGGCTAACGATCGAAACGTCAGTATTTTAACTCTTTACGGTGGCCAATTTACGATTTCAGCTTAGTTGATATTACCAAATTATTTTGTTACCCCCACCGACGCAGCACCACAGTTTCTTTAGAAACTTACCCCCTTTATTCAATGAAAACTAGTCTTATCAGCCGTTTTATTATTTCATTCGTACTGCAAACAAATCGTGTGAGCAAGAACGAGGGCGTAGCGTTGAGGTCGAGTTAAAGACTCAGACGGTAATGCTAAACCTCATGGCGTTCGTCATTTTTCTTCCGGCCTTTCTTTCGGTCACGCTATCAACGAAAGCTAAGAGATTTAGGAGTTGTGTAAATTGACTGAAACGAAAAGTCGTTGAAATTGTAGTTCGTTTTGGTTTGTTTCTTTGAACAGAGGAACAAGATATGCTTATTTTTCCGCAGTGCATTACTAGTATTTTTTCGCATGTGGGTGACTTTATTAACAGTAACATTTCTTGGAAACATCCTGTATTCTTTGATGACCTAAGCAGTATACAGGACACGTATCATATTTTGTTACTTCTCAAACATATTCTCGGGCTACCAAATCGGGCAAGTTTTCGTCACTTCCAAAGGCAATCAGCCACAGTCACATTCATTTTATACTTAATTCAACTTATGGAATCGTATTATTTAAAAAGCTGAAATAGTTTCATTCACTCGGTGATGGCGCTTTCCACAAATTTCAACTTGACTTTGATTTGTCTAACGCGAAGTGTGATTGGTTGGTACATTCTAGGCTCCCTCTCTTACGTCAGTACTATTCAATTGGAACAGAATGAATAACAACCTTTGAATTCTTTGCATCTGTTTCAGGTTTCTCTCAACCTCTAGCAATGTTTCCCTTTAATGCAGAGTGTGGAGGTCTGGAGTATTTCTCTCAAGAAGAAATAGCTTATATATCACCACGTGTCAGATACGCCCCAGGTGTTGATGGGAATCCAGGAGGCTCTCTAGAACTAACTGGATTTGCTGACTCGTTTATCGAGATTCCAAATTGGTGGGGAGGGTTTTCAGACGCTGGGAGTTCCATAACGTTGCTAACATTTATCTACCCTTTTGGAATTGTCGGACCAATTCTTAGCTATGATGTTCACGGTTATGGTGTTCAACTTTGGCATGAAGGCTTTGAGGGAGGAATGGGTATATTGACAGCTTACTTCATTCGAAGAGATCTTCAGCCCATCGCGCCCCTAAGAGCAGCAGTTCTGCACATAAACGAGTGGAACTTCATCGGTGCCTCTTACGATCATGACTCTGGACTTGCCCGCCTGTGGCACAATGGAAATGAAGTAATGAAAGTGTTTATTGGGGAGAATTGTTACTTAGCGACTCAGTTCCCCATAAGGATCGGTGCTTTCCTGGGGTATCACTTCGCTGGGAGAATTTCTCATTTACACATATACGCAGAGTCACTGACAGCCGAGAACGTTCAAGCAGTCGGAGGTATTTCTTCACAAGGTAAGTTCAAGTGGTTTAAATCTCTCTGAAGGGAAATTATAGCTTTAGCATGAATAAAATTAAACAAGAGACTCTCCTTGCTCCTTCCTAAGCCAATTCAATAGATTCCAAGCACTTTTTCCATACGAAAAAATAAATAGGCAAAAAGTGTGTTACATTCAAATGCAACACATGGTACCTGCCATGTTGGATTACATCTATTGAATTTTCTTTACTAGTGATGCAACTCATTTTTTATAACTTACAGAAACATGCAGGTTTAGCGAAGAGGGCGATAAAGAAGGAGGTGGAAACAACAAAGAAGGAGAAGGAGAATTTGTCAACAGAGGGAGGTCAGCTAATTTTCAATTTGACGCTGATGTCTTGCAAAATCAAAGGATACTAGAAACGGATGAAGTCACCAGATTTGACCGCGAGTCTCCCTCATCTCATTTGAACACAAATGACACGTACGATTTTCCAGTGTGTGCAAATGAGGGTGCGTCCAGTGGCAACTGGCAATTTCAGAATTCCAAACGAATTAATCAAAAGATCAAACGAATTATTCAGAGAGAGCTTCAGCGAGAAGACATGATGAGTAAAGAAGAAGCCTCCGAGGTATTTCGTAGGCATGTTTGTAATTCATTTTTTCCCATTGAATAAAAGGGAAAGGATCCAGCGTGTATATTTTTTGAGAAGGCTGAGTGAAAGCTGACAGGAAACTAGCCATTCGCTCAGATGTAAAAAAAACTAATAGGATGCAGTGAAAAATGTATACATCGATCTTCTACGTGTCATCTGATTCCTTCCTGAGGTAATGATGCTAACTGTTTTCGTCAAGATAAAATACGCCGAGAATGATGATCCATTGAATGAAATTATGAGGCTAGACAAATAATTATGTGATGAGCACGCATTGATCATAAGGAATTGTAAAGAAACCAGCAGTGCCTGTTGTTGATCCAATGCTCATCATTTACAGATCCTTGATTTTGATTGTTTCGTTTTAGGTAGAGGATGTGTGGAATTTGTCTGACAAAAACCGCTGGCGTCTGTATCGTAGATGGATGTTCGATGCACGTGAGACTTGCTCCGAGAATATTTCTGATTTCCGACAATTGTACGACGATCAGGTACTTCGGTTAAAAGAAGTACGGAAACAAGAGGAATGCGAGATCCTTAAAAAAGCGGATGTCATTGGAATGACCACTACAGGTGAGCGGCGATTTATCGAAAAACCGACATTATTGAGCAATCGTATACTAGAGTTTTCCTGCATTTTGATTTGTAAGAGCCAGCCACTAAAAGTACTTTGTTTGACTAAGTTCAGTGGCAAGATGGCCGTAGGATTCCGAACTTAGACGGTTGAAGGCTGACGGGGAAGATGATGTCACCTAGAATGAGTTAGCTAAGACTTCTGTTAATTTCCTAGCCAACGAACATTTGCTATTTTCCTGACTAGAGAAGTTCGATTTAAAAAGGATAATTTTGCAAATACTGCCAGCTCTTTGGTAACTATTGTGTCACGGAAAAGGGTGTCTTTTACTTTTCAAATCCCAGATCCAGGTTCCAGGTTGAATCACTTGTCGTAAGATAGTCGTGTTCTTAAGAACAGGTTTACTCGGAATGTTTTATCCCCATCCTTTTTGTACTGTGTAACTATTAGTGCTTCCCAATAAACATAATATGTCTCTTCACATCTGAATTTGAGTTATAACTGAACAACATATCAACTTTGCGAAAAACACCGCTCGCGAAAAACTGGTTAAGATGTTTCTGAGAACATTGAATCCCGGTCTTGACTGTTTGTCTGTGATTATTAAAGAGGTTTACAAAGGCCATTCGGAGGCAGTTAATTATTGGTGACATTATGGGCAGATGGTAGGGTGTCATCAATGATACTATGGCTGTACACAACATAACCTTCTTCTTTCTTCCTAGCCAAAATATTTTGATAATTAGAAAGGAAAGAGAACTATCGCAATTACTACCAAAAAAATAGAAAATGACGCAATAGGTGACTCATTGATTATTTAGAAATTTAACAGGTGCGTATGTCCTTGATTGTTTGTATTAAGGTGCTGCCAGGTATCACAGTTTGTTACAAGACATTCAACCGACGATTACTATCGTGGAAGAAGCAGCTGAAGTGCTCGAGGGACACATTGTAACCTCTCTAACCAAAGGATGTAAGCATTTGATTCTGATTGGTGATCATCAGCAGCTCCGACCCAGTCCTACAGTCTACGATCTCCAAATCAATTACCATTTAGACGTATCTTTGTTCGAGAGAATGGTAAAGAACTTAATGATATTCTCAAGGCTGAGTTTACAGCACCGAATGAGACCAGAAATCGCCAAGATGGTGGATCACATTTACGTAGACCCAAAACTGGGGAATCACGACTCTGTCTTTACATTTAAAAATATAAAGGGTGTGGAAAAAAATTTGTTCTTTGTGGATCACTCTGAGAAAGAGGTATTAGACAGCGTCTCTTTGTATGTCGTAAATTAGAAGAATCTTCCGTATATGTTTTGTCCGAATAAGAATGCGTTGTTAAGGTATCATTTGACTTAAGAAAAAAAGTTTGAAAGAGCGATACAATTTAAAATGCGGTTCATGTCGCGTGTGCATATTTGTTTGCGTGATACTTTGCAGTATCTTAACTTTTCATTTATGCTGGTTTCAATGTCTATTATACTCGGTCCTCTGTACATCAGACCTCTCTGTTGAATTGTATATGCAATTTTTTGTCCTTTTGGATCATACCGATTGACCAAATGAATTTTTGTATTTCTTACGCAGAATTTCATTCGTGAAGGAAAAAGCAAATCCAATGTCCACGAGGCAAAGTTTTTGACAGCACTATGCCGTTACTTCATTCAACAAGGTTATCAGTCATCACAGATAACTATTCTCACAGCTTATAGTGGACAGCTCGTTGAATTCAGAAAAGAGATGATAGACGACAAAGCGTTTTTTGAAGGAGTTCGAGTTACAGCAGTGGATAATTTCCAAGGGGAAGAAAATGACATCATTCTTCTCTCGCTCGTCCGCAGTGAAAGGATTGGCTTTCTCAAAATTGCAAACCGTGTTTGTGTCGCTTTATCGCGAGCTCGAGAAGGCTTCTACATCATTGGAAATGCGACTCTTTTAGCAGAAGAAGACCCTAATCTTTGGGCAAAAATCGTCGCAGATATGCGGGAAGATGGCAATCTAGGAAGTGAATTGAAACTGGTTTGTCAGAACCATCCCCAGAATGTAATTCACGCGTCTTGTGCGGAGGATTTTGAAGACTCTCCCGAAGGAGGTTGCAAAGAAATGTGTATGATGACGCTGGATTGTGGACACGTTTGCGAGAGAGTGTGTCACCCAATAGATCTTGAGCACGTGGAGAAATTCGCTTGCGTGAAGCCTTGTACCAGAACCATCTGTGACCTTCAGCACATCTGCCCAAAGACATGCGCCGAAGAGTGTGGTGCTTGCATGGAGAGAGTTGTGAAGATCATCCCGAAATGTAATCACAAACAGCCGGTCCCTTGCTCCATAGATGCTTCTACCTTTAAGTGCCGGGAGAAGGTGTCAAAAGAAACCTCTCCCTGTGGCCATATCAACGAGGTGGAGTGTTTTATGGCGCCCACTGACATCATCTGCAAGGAGCCTTGTGGTAAATTAGAGTGTGGACATCCATGTCCCGGTAAGCTGATAGGTCTGAGCTTTTCCTCGACATAATAGTTAGGAACTATCTTGTAGAAATATCGGGAAGCAAATCTCTTTAAAAGTTGCCGTCCGGAAATTAAAAGCAGAGTATCACTGCCTCCTTCGTCGCATGCCAGAACGGTAAGGTCTGCAGACGGGAAGCAACGGTTATGATATCACTACGTATGATGCACGATCCTTCGCAGTAGATAGCGCTATTTATGAAATAGCGAAAATCAGACCTGNGATCGATGTCAGGGAGGCCGTCTCCATTTGCCGTGCCGGTCTACATGCAGTCGAACACTGTTCTGTGGCCACGCTTGTGTGGAGAAATGTGTAAAGTCCTGTCCGCCTTGCCCATCACAATGCCGTAATCATTGCGATCACCAAATCTGCGGACGGAGTTGTGGTGATCCTTGTCGGCGATGCCTTGAGGAGTGCTTATGGCAGTGTCCACATTATAAATGTACCAAACCTTGCGGAGAGATTTGCGATCGACCGAGATGTGACAAGCCATGCTCCAGGCTGTTACCCTGTGATCATATGTGTGTTGGTGTTTGCGGTGACATTTGCCCTGACTTATGCCGAGTTTGTGATGCGATTGAGTTCAGTGAGAGTGCGCCTGGAGCAATGTTCATTGAACTGGTTGACTGTGGTCATGTGATTGAAGTTGGGCAACTGGACAAATGGATGGACGGAAGAAATGAAGCCGATGCACAGGCTGGAAATGATGATGGTAAAGTCAGATATAAAGTTTGCCCAGAATGCAGCACTCCAATTCTGTACAGTCGCAGGTACGGAAAAATCGTTAAGGAAATTCATGCTGAGTTTGAAGCTATAAAGAGTCGAGTTCTTCTCGCTGATGTAACAAGCATTGACCAGATACAGAGGATTCGGCGAGAGGCTCAAGAGGTCAAAGAAGTTCCGGGGGAATTGCTTGAAGATATCGCCAAATGTGGCACCAGTGGTCGTACTACTTGTGAAGAAGTCAACACTTGTGAAAATCAAGTGGCCTTTCTGAAATTTCTTGGAAGGTTAATCACGAGGCACAACATCACCAAAGAATCCAGCCGTGAGCTATTCGACAAAATAAATCTCCTGAAAGCACGGATACTGATGAGACGGGATTGCTTCAGTGAACAGGAACTCGAGGAATTTCAGAATGAGCTGTTAAGAACACATCTTATGGTGTCTTTCAACGGTTTGACGACTGCTCTTGAAAGTAAATCAGTCAGCAGTCTCTGTTCTAATGATGTCAAAACTGTAGAATCTATAAGAAGTGCTTTGGAATCCGGAGAAGTAGTTGGTACGTATACGTTATATGTTTTAAAATTATTGAAATGAACCTCTATTCTGTATTTTATCATGCATCTGCCATCTGCTCCGTCTAACATATTTCGTTGTTCGGGTATGGAGTATCATAGGGACCTTTAGCACTGACGATGAGAACGTGGACGACGACGTATATGACCGATTGAGGCCTGAGACGGGACCGTCGTCCACGGCGGGAAACATAAACACTTTCGCACACCTGTTACGTGGACGAATCCTTTACTGCAGCTTTCTGTGGCAGTCAATAGGAAAATGTCTTTTAAAGAATTTGGTGACTTGCTTATTCTTCTTTACGGCGATAATATTGTTTCAGATGAAGAGTTTTCACTGCTCTACTATACCTTCAAAACAAAAAATCCCGAATTTCCTCATGGAAACTACGAGCGATTCGACCTGGATTCTATGAACTCCGCCGAATGCAAAGCAGAGTTTCGTGTCGAAAAGCAAGACCTACCTCGCCTGGTTGCAGCACCGGTGTGGAGATGTGAACAGACAAGTATTTGTGACGACATAGAAGGCCTATGTATTCTTCTCAAAGGAGTTGCCTTCCCATGCCGGTGTCACAGCGGATTTGGACCCCTGGTCCATATCCGCTAGCGGATTTGGAACCCCTTCGTAGATTTGGACCCCCCACTAAACATTCCTTATTCGTAACTTATTCCAACTGCAAGCTTTTAGGCGATGTCCGTTATAATTTCAACACAAGATTACGTACTATAATTGACGAAGAAAAGCGCACATATCGTTTCATTTCCGGCACATTTATTTAAGTTAGTAGAATAGCCTACGCATGAATTAAATGACAACAAACTATTGGATTCGAACTCTTGAAACTCATAACAAATCCTTTCTTATTCTGATGCGAAGCAACATTATTACGAAAATGTCTGGTCGCAATACAATCCGGAAGAACAAGAATGAAACTATAGTACTACTCTTACTTTACTTCGTAAAGTACGTCATAATAGTGAAAACTATTTCGTCGCAGTAGAATGCTGAACAAGAATTAAACTAGCAATACTCTTACTACTCTTAATTTATAATGGTAATTGAACTGAGTGGAGTGCAATTTGGGCTGAAATCATACGCGTGATTTGAAATCACAAGTATGATTTCAGGCCAAAATTGCACGACACGAGGTTCAATTACCACTTTATTACATCCATTTTGAAATCGCCCAAATACAGAACTTGGTCAATTCAAATATTTTATTGATGCAGTACTGAGCCGGTTTTTAAATAAAAAGCGGAAACGGAAACGCATTTACATCTTATTTTGTATG